CCATTGGTTGTTTTTTTTTTTTTTTTTTTTTTTTTTTTTTTTTAGCCAATAGGAAGGCGGTCAAGTATGGGAAATAGGGATAGCATAGAACTAAAGATACATTTATTGAAGGTAGACATATGCTTCAGTAGGTCTGTATTCTATAAATATCATAGTTCATATTTCACCTCCTGAATTTCCCTCTTCCAAAATGCCAAAATCAAGCACTTTCTCTGATTAAGCTGCATTATACCCACTGGATTTTGATCAACCATCCTCACCTTCAGAGAACCTGAACCACAAAATGGATTACTGAGTGGATCCTATTTGATGGTGAGGATACAATTATTTCCTATTATTAAGAAATACAGTCTTGCCATGTGTCTGCACCATTCATCTTCAGTAGCAACCATGCCAATGGCATTTCAAAAGGGTTCCCAACTGCACTGCTAATACGTACTGCGATTGCCAATTCAGGCTTGCTACTTCTCCCTGCATTCTCACATAGACCTACTCAATAGAATTTGGGTCACATTGGTACAGAGAAAGTTGAACCACTTCAAATCCACACATGCTCACTTCAAGGCTGATATCATACAAGCAGTAATCTTTATGTCAGGAAATAATATGAGATAAGACAGTTTGAATGTCACTCATTTCATGAGCTCTTACCTGTTAGCCATGATATGATTAGGTTCTTTCTCCAGCTTAATGTGTGAGGGTTTTTTTTAATACAAATTTTTAAATTATCCTGTCAATCCCTGTCATTGGGCCACTTGGATGTTAAAGGGTAGCTGTTTCAGAAATCAGTTTTTGAATATTGGTCCATTCATTTCAAAGTAATCTATGGTGGAAATTATGGGAAGACCAGAAGTGCATTGGTAAAAAAACCACTCCTTGCATGAACTAGTATCAGGTACTGCCCACATCCACTGGCTACTGTCAGGCAAGTCTTGTCCAAAAAAAATAATCTCTAATAGTCACTAGGTGACTCATATTTAGGTCATAGTTTCAGTTACACATGCCTCTTCTAGGTTACCACTTTTCTCAGAGAACAATCCTGTCATTTCCTTGCTTCACGAACTTGAGTCCAACGTCCTAATACCCTTGCAGTAGAACCTCACACCTCCAGGAAAACCAACTGCAGCTTCAGGAAAATTATCTCATTAAATTATCTCAGCTTCAGGAAAGTTATCCCATAGAATACCATCTAGAAGAACCAATCAGGACTCCAAGGAAGCACCAAGTGAATGCAGCTTGGGAAATGCCATAAGCTGTCTTAAAGGAATATTTGCATGGTATGAAGTTTTCATGCAACCAGAGCAACAATAACAGAAGGCTCAAGGCAGCTCACTTGGCACTTTAGCCCCTCCAGCCCATCAGCTAAATGTGCCCATCCATACAGCCCTACTTTAAAGTCATTTCAAGGGGTGATAAGTCACCAGATGTTTCAAGCAGTATGTTGGTGTTGCCTCTTGTGTTTTCTTCTGATGGAATTATTGCAAGGAAAGATTCAGAAACTCCTACATCTCTGGTGACCTTTGACATGATGACATTCATGGCAGGAATTAAAACAGGTGGTAGATCCTTGAATCATTTCTCAATGCCTTTTTGCATCTTATCCATGAACTTGTGAATTGAGCAATGATTCCATAGAATGGATCAAAAGGGATTGCTTACTTGTTATTGGGGATCTGTGAATGTGTTACCAAGAGATCAAAGTGCAAGAGATATGAGGACATAATGAATGCCAAAAATGGTTAGTATCATGACCTGGGCTTGATTCATTCATAAAGTATATTTTATCTATAGATATAAATATGTTTAAAAATTCAGAGACAAATAATGATTCTTCCTATCATAGGACAATCTATGGTCAGATGCAGTGCTTGAATTTTCTCTAATATAATGTATTTGCTCAACTTTCTGTAGTTGAAAGAGATGAACATGGGGTCAGGTGGCCCAGAGGGTAAAGGAAACAATCACTAATTAATGACCAAGCAGGAGGGGGAAGGGGGATGACAACTGGTATGTCACTCTCACAGGCTGAGAGAGTCTAAAAACATTTCTAAGCATAAGTCTCATAGATATATTTTACATCCTCTCAAAATCACCTTGATCTTATGTAGTGGTAATTGATATTAATGAGATCCTCAATGGAGCATAGATTGCCATCAGTCCACAAAACAGCCTTAGGCCAAACTTTGACAGGAGAGGAATTGAACATAATTCAGAGTTGTTGACTCCCACCATCTTCCTGCTCTTGGATGTACTCAAATTTTAATCAGACTTTCATCAGAATGAGACTTGGGAATCCAACAACCCTGATTGCATCTCTGGCCTGAATGACACCTGAGACAATATATTTATGACCTTACAGAGAATTCAAAGCAGTTGCACTCCTTTGACCCTGTTATTTGCAGCTGATGGCCCTGAAAAGAGGGCAAATTTGAGCAGACAAGAAGTACAACAGAGATGCCTCTCCCCCTTTCACCCTAAATGGTGGTGTCTGTGAATGTCTCTAACACACTGAAGGTGATTGACATCCCCTTCCTTCTGCCCTCTCCCTTCTTCTTATTTCATCAGCATGAGGCAGCAGAGATCAGGCAACCCCAGGTTTGGGCAGATATACTATACATAAATTATTATTCTTCAGCAGAGTTTGTGAACAGCTGATCTTGTTTTTCAACAAGTAACATGCAACACTAATATAGTAAAAATACTACTTCTAAATTAGCAAGAATTTGGTACCCTTTCTTATTTGTTTCAATATCTTTTATAGTGAATGACACTTACGCTTGCAGGATAGAATGGAAGTCAGTGGGTGTCCCTGGTCCACCAATACCTGCAGTACCTCCTGTTCCTCCCATCCCCCCTCCTGATTCATTCTGGTCCTGCCCTCCTGACCCACCACTGGGGTTTCCACTTCCTCCTAGTCCTCCCAATCCTCCAGACAATAAATTACTGAACCTACATAGAGGAGAAAATTGGTCCCAAACAGGAGGTTGATAGATATGAATGAGAATGAAAGGATGCAAAGACATGGACCCACATTTGCTGCATGTTGGGATCAGACATGACTTGAGTGGCCATGTTCATGAGAGCTGGATTGGAGAGTATGGATGTGAGATCAAACTGATTTCCTGCACCACTGGCACCACTACGACTCCCCATAGATGAAGCATTTCCTCTTCCTTTGGCTTCTTCCTCTTCTGCTATACTCAGATTATTGAGATATGTTTCATTGTTGGGCTCCAATTGCAGTGCCTTATGAAAACATTCTCGAGCCTTCCCAGCATTATTGAGATGTAGGTAAGCAAGCCTAATGGGAATAAAATCTTTGTCACTCAGGCATACATTAAACAGGAAGGCACACAAAGAAGAGGTGAGACATACCCCATTCGTCCATATGCCTTACTGTACTTGGGATCTAGTTGCAAGGATTTCTCACAGTCTGAGATAGCATCCTGATATCGGTCCAACTTGCAAAAGGCAGCAGCACGATTGCCATAATAGACAGCATTATTTCCATCCAGCTCAATGGCTCTATAATGGACAATACTGTATGGTAATTTCTGAACAATGGGAATGGAATCTTTCAAGTATAACATTTCCAAGACTCACTTTGTGTAATGGTCAGCAGCCGCAAGAAAGTTTTCACTTTTCATGAGACCATTACCCTGGTTTTTGAGTTGTTCAGCCTCCTGCTTCTGTGCTGGTGTGGCTTCAGTTTGTCTACGATTCTGTCTCACCAGGTCCAATATGGACAGAGGGAAACTCTCAGGCACTTCATCACTCTTCACTCCAAACACATTTTCTATGCATTCTATGGCTACCTAAAATTAATAATTTTTGAAATGAAGAGAGTCCATTTGGCTACATATGACTGTGAAACAACAGAAATTATAGAAAGAGAAGTACCTGGAGGCTCTCCTGGGAATCAGACAGTAGATTTCCTCTTTTAATTTGGTCATGAAGAAATCCAAGTACCAATTTTACAGCATCTTTTCTCTCATCTCCACTCATGACTTCAACTTTCACACAATCCTCTTGTCCTCCACCAACCTAAAGTAATTCATTCGTCATGACCAAACATTTGGTATTGCTTGTATAGTACAATATGAAGATCCAATCACTGATAGCAGAGTGAATTAATCATTTACTAACAACTGAAGAGGGACTCACCTTAAATTTTTTAAACCAATAGAAATATATGTTCACAGTGCCAAGTTTATCAAGGCACTCTTCCAGTTTGGGCTCTTATCTGAATGTGGAATAGATATGACACCAACTCTCATGAAGAGGCCATTGAACATAACATACCTTGAGATACCATGTATGGCATTATCAGAATAATAGTATAATTTATCCAATCACAGACAAGGATACAACAATACACAATGCAGATCAAGGGCCTAGGTAGTGTAATAGCTACCAAAATAGTAGCTTGATTACCATGCACTGAGTTTCAGTAGTGCAATGACTGAAGGCAAGCATGGCTCTGCTGCCTCTGCAACACAAGATTATTCAGTTAAAAATTATATTAAGTCATCAATGGAACAACTCTTGGAAACAAACTTTTTGGAACAAACATTCATTCAAACAACACCAAAGAAAAATCATGTCAAAAAAAGAAACAAAGGGTATATGCCTGACTAGTATCATTTCTCAAGAAGGCACTTTGGACAAGCTGTAAACTGCACTGCATCCGGATATGTGTGACTGGTCTCCACATGTCCACATGTGAAAACAACAACAGGATCACATCCTGGTGGGATGGATGCAGATCCTGGAACAAGAATTGACCTAGGATCACTTCCTCCCTCTCCAGGCAAGACTAGCTTCAGTGCCTGGAGCATGTCCATCTCCCCACATCCTCCACTCAATGACTGAATCAGGTCGAGGCAGAATGAATTCTGGAGATGCTTCAACCATGCCTCTTGTTGCTTTCTTTTCTCTGCATCTTTGGATAATCTAAACCAGAAATCAAAATATATTAATATATTTCTCATAGTATCAACTTATAAAGTAGAAGACAAAGCAATGTGTTTATGGTCATTGAAGTACAGCAGACTCTCAGTATAACGAACACTAATACAACGAAAAATCAGTTATACCGAAATCCTTGATGTTGCCCAGCTGAATGTCCATAGACACCCATGCTAAAAAATTTTGATATAACGAAATTGGATATAGGGAAATTTCCGATATAACAAAAGAATTTCTGTGTCCCCAGATAGACACTATGCATAATATAATTAATTTTCCCCAGTCCAGAAGAAAATAATTTTTTTTCTCTCTCCTGATGGAAGTGCAGAAGGGTCAGTCCTTATATCTCATCAACCTTGGTCTTCAGCTGCATGGCCTATGAGAACCAAGGATGCAGAATGTGTGTGATAGGGGGCATGTGAATGTGGGTGAATGTGCATGTGGTGGGGGATGTGAACATGGAAGATGCAAGTGAATGAGGCACTTCAGTGCTTGCACTCAGCAGTTATTTGTCAGGCTCCCGTGTTGCATTGATCCCGTGCGAGTTTCATTTTGGCTTTGGGAAGTCCATGCTCTTTACATGGTAGAAGCTTTTACTTATTTAACCCTTTGTGGCATAATTTATTTTGGCACGCAGCCAATTGCAATGTTGCAGGATGTAAATGAAGTTGCTTTTTGCAGCCCACAGGTTTAGATGTCAGCTGCCAACACAATTTCCGATGCTTTAACTGCAATGCCACGTGCCCCACCAACGGATATGTGGCAGTGTAGATGTTAAAGTACTGTTGTCCATGAAACCCTCAAAAGCTGTAGGGCCCCCAAAGTACACCCATGGGATAATAATCATATATACACAGGCATAACAGGATTCAGTTCTCTGATTGGAGATATATGACTCTCTCCCGATATAACAATAACCCGAAATAACAAAATAATTCTGGCGGTTTTATCAACTTTGTTAAAATGAGTCAACTGTATAAGAATTCAAAATGCAACTTGAAGGGAGTATCACTCACTGAAATAATGTAGATGCAAGTGGATGGACAATTGTTGACCAATGTGATTTGATGACATCCTGCAATAAGCTCCAGTCCCAGCCCTTCTCCTCCCACCAGTTTAACACCTATTACCAGCACTTCTTATCTACAAATCCTTCAATGATATCCATGAAGAAAACAAATAGACTTGAACTAACCTGCTCAAGGCAAGACTGTACCAAAGATTTATCAAGATCTGGAAGGGCAAATATATAGTTCAAGATGGCTTTGGCCTGTATTTCCTCATCACAGGCCTTGAGGGCAAAGTGGAGACATTCAAGATTATCACCCTTGAGGCCAGCAATGTGTGCAGCAGTCATCCATTCCCCAAACTCAGTACACTACACAAAATCCTAGGACTATAATAACATATAATGCTGCCAGAGTCAAGCAGGATTTGAAAAAATCAAAACCTTTTGTATTAATACATCGGGATCATAGAATCCATGCAGCCAGTCTAAAGCTTCGGTCAAGATGACCAAACATGCTGCTTTGGAGTTGGTGAGGGGATGATCTGGACGAGAAGCCCACAGGTGAAGAAGTGGTAATTCCATCTCATTGCTATGAAGTTTGGAAACAGGGGCAACCATAGAAATTCCTTGCACAAGGGCAGGTGTCATGCGAAATGCATTTGGAGAGCGTAGGTTCAGCCGTCCCATGCGAATCTCCTTCACCTCCCCTTCTCCTGTCCCCAACTGTATGTGGAATTTTCTCAATAAGTTGAGTCATTTTATACTGTGCAGCATGCAGCTACATTTTAGGAAAAATATTTTCACAGAATGAAATGACACCTTCCAGTCCTCTGTCTTCCATGGGAAGGTTCCATAGACTAGGTTTCATTTTGCACACTTTTCTTAGCAAGGCTTCTTTCTCTAACAAAGAAGCTCCCATGGAGAGGCACCACTCCTGTGTGTGTGCACTTGTGCATGTCAGCAAGAAAATTTCAATTTAAAAAAAAAAAAAATGTTGTTTCACCAACATTTTGCCACTACTATTACTAAATGCAAATTTGAAGAGTTATTGAGAGTTATGTTGAGTGTTTAAAAATGCATTGTAAGAAATTTACAGGGCCTCCCTGAAATAATTTTTAATTAAAAAAAAATCAGTCATTCAAAAAGCATTTAGAGAGGCAGAACAAATGGCTAAAGGTCAACTAGAGAGCTTGAACAGTCAGGCAATGCCATCCTCACAGTTGGGTCATGGAACAACCTCAAAGTATCCTCCATAATTTGCAACACAGTCCAAGCAATGCTAAGAAAAGACATCCCAGGAAAAGCATGCCATATGTCTCAGGCAATAACATGGCATTTCCTGCAGAATGGCTTGCATGTTCACTGAATTGAACAGGTTGCAGTTACTAGTAACTGGTCATTGGGCAATGTCAAGGGAGATGTGTTGACCATATGGGTTATCTTGATACATCTTGAGAAAATCACACAGGATTACTTTGCAAATTTTGTCATATTTAGAAAAGGTGTTTGCCTGAATTATGCTGTCATTAGGCCCAATGCACAAGTCACCTGCATGCACAACCTTAATGAACACCATATTCCATATGACATGCGTGATGATTAGATAAATGGATTCATGCAATTTAAACTGATTGATATGCTCTTTACCTGAAGGAGTTGATTTGAGCCCCAAGCCCAAAGATAGCCATCATGGTCAATTGCATAGGATGAGTCATCTGAGGCGGCAACCTCTCTGATGGAAGATGGAAATGTTACAATTTGAGTTGGAATGGAGACTTCAGTTCCCTTTCCAGGACCCAGACCAAGCTGACCAAAGGCATTCCGACCCCATGAATATATGAACCCATCCTCAGTCAGCAGCAATGTGTGTTTGCATCCTGTTGCCAGCTGAAAAAGTCATGATATATGTAGCATTCTTCCATGTGAGATGTGAAGCCAACATTAGCCTAATCAACTTTACCTCACAAACATGGGCCGATAGAGAGATGTGGAATGATTGGACAGAGAGATGTGGATTACTGTTTTCTGGTGTTTGTTCTGGGTTTTGGACACCTTTAGCTCTTTGGTGACGTCGCTGGGATTGTGTCATACAGCGAAGTGTGGCTGGGCTGCAACCCCACTGGCAGATGAGCAAACCTGAACTCCAATCACCATCAATCACAGCCACCTGATTACATAAAGAATAATTATGTAATTTTTGCCACTTTTGCTACATCAACATATTTCCAGAGACTCAGCAGGAAAAAAGGAAAAAAACTCAATTCTCTTTTTCAGCAACAGATCAAGTAAGCAGGCTACCCTGTAGGGATTATTCCCATTAAAAATGCCTCAGAACAGCATTCAAAAAGAAAAACAGACAAAACACAATTTTCAGAAAATCATAGTATGAATGAAAGAGTATGGTTCACTACAAATATAAAGTCATTAAGAGTGATTAAAAAAATTAGCTTCATGTTAGTATGATTGGTAATTATTCCCCAGCAGTTGAGTATTTTTTGTAAACATGAGCTTCAAATCATGGCATTTTCATTCGCTCACTTTGAAAAGTACGAGTTGACAGCCTTTGGAATGGAGAGGTCATTGCAATCACACCCCATTGGAATGGTTATGCTTGATAATCAGGTTCATGGTAAACTGATACAGGTCAAATCTTGTCACAACAAACTTCAAGGGGGTGTCCATATTATTTCTTTGTACTGAAATTTTGTAGTATCATATATTGTTTGAAATAAGTTCAAAAGAAACATTCTTTATTCAAATTAGCTATGCCTTCCAACATACAGACCACAGATGCAGTAATTTTCCACTTTGTTTTGTTTGGAGAAAATCTGTTGGAGAAAAATTTTGGATTGCACAAGAGTTTGTTTTGCACTTGATGAGTGATGCCAAATAATTTTGCCAAGTCTCCTTTTTTCCTGCCAGAATTTACTGCTTCCACTACTTTTATTTTTTCTTCTAATGAAAACTATAGGCGTTTCTTGTTTCCCTTGTTAACCATGTCTACAGGATGGGGCGCACAGGTACACTGTGTTGTAAGTGATGAGGTTTTGGCCACAACTAGCCAGCGCCTACTACTGTATGTTCCACTTTGTGCTAACACTTTTTATGCCACAAGCATGAGAAACAGAGAATTCTGACTCTCTGAGGATCCAAATAGAAGGAGGAGGCTGTTGCAAACCAGACGATCGTCTTTTCATAAACAATCAGGTGTTAAATATTTTTCCATTATAACAAGTAACTATTATACACACAAGGACTGGGAAAAAAAGCATTTGTTGTACTGAATTATTTGTAGTAACGAATTTCAGTGTAACAAGATCTACAAAGTACTATTACTATGGGCCACTGGTTAGGGCTTGGAAATGTTTTTGTTATAGTGAGATTTTTGTGGTAACTAGATTTGACCTGTATAACCAATCTGGTCAACTGCATCAATTTTAGGCTTGCATATAAGCATACAAATCTATGTGCATGATTTGTATGTGCAAGGTGGTTTTCAAAAGTAATGTTATTAAATTTATTTTATTTCAATGTCACTCCCATGGTTCAAATTCTTTTCTTCAAAGATCAAAGAGGACTCCTGAAATGTACATGAGACTAAAAAAAGTACATGGCATATTTGAATCTCTAGTGTTTCTCTTTTTTCTCTCCTTGCCAAAATAAATTAACCCCACTATTTCCAAAGGGTAACAGTTACAAATTCCTCCCCTGCTTTTAATTTCACTCATTTGAGGTAAATGCTCAATTTAGAAACACTGTGTCTTCATAGCAGCCCTGACTCTTCCTTGGACACAAATTCCACCTCTTCTGGATTTTTGCTCCCCATTACATTATTCCCTCCCCAAGAGGGAAAGATGAGGCAGACATTGTGGAAGAACTTGGTAGCAAGGCATGTCACAGTTCCATCGATGGGGACCAGGGTAGGGGAAAGACGTTTGTGTGTGCTTCCATCTCCAGCCTGTCCATGTGCCGAGGACCCCCACATCCACACTCTCCCATCTGCTCCTAGGGCCAGGCTATGTGCATAACCTCCATATATTCTTTTCAGGAGCTGAAACACCATCAAGGTAATGTATCATAAATGTATGTGATAGTGATACCATAAAGAATTCAAATATAGAACTTACAGTTCCTTGTGGAAAGGATTCTTTCTTGATGAGCACAGGCACATTTTGATCTTCAATGTCTCCAGTTCCTAGCTGGCCATGCACACCCCAACCCCAGGCATATAGACTATGTAATATAGGCATATAGAAATGAAATAAATGCTTCTTTCCTGCAATGCTTGTTTAATAGTTTTTCCTGCTGAATCAAAGCGTACAACTTACTTGCCACTTTCAGTCAAAGCCATGGAATGGAACTGTCCAGCAGTGACATCAATAAGATGATTGTGCTCAAGATTGTGAACTCGAACAGGGAATTTGGCCTTTTTATATTCCCCAATGCCAAGCTGTCCATATTTTCCCACTCCCCAAGCAAAGAGACCAGCATGGGTCACAGCTAAATTATGCATCTTCCCACATGCAACTGACAAGACAGGAATTCCCATGTCAGGCAGAACAGTCATAATCTCTTGGCCAGTCTGGGACATCTCCTCTGTTGCTGAATCAAAGCAATTAATCCAAGCAATACATATGAATTTAATCCTTCTCATTCACTAAAAACTAGATGAGGTGGAATTCCAATCAAGGTGATTTAGGTTAGAAAATTTATGGAAATAAGAGTGCAAAAGCAGCAAATAGAATCACAAATGTGTGACCATGTTCTCTTAATCTTCTCTCTTCCACACTAAAATCCATGATGTGTAATGTTTGACAAGGAGTTACAACCAGAAAGGGGGAAAAATTTTTTTCCAATCTATGACTCACAAGTGCCCAAAAGATGAACAACGGAAGATGAATCTCCTGATGATAGAAGGGCATGGGAGTACCCACCATCAATGTTCTTTCTTTTCAGGTGAGAAGATATTGGTGATGATACACCTTCAATATTTCTCTTCTTAGGAGGAACAAACACTCTTTGACAGTCTTCTCTGACAGAAGCTTGTAGGAGGAGAGAGAGAAAGAAGTCAATCATGGCCTCTAGGTGACCTTGCATAGCTTCAGATGTTGATAGGAGCCAGGGCCAGGCCTCAGGTTGACTAGGATCATATAAGGTAGCAGCACGGCGTAGCATGATCTCATCAAAAGAGCATACTCGGTCCTGAAGCCACATCCGGTGTCGGATGGCTTCTTGTGGATCACGCCAAACTGCTGCTGCCACAAAGTCTTCTGTCAGGCATTGCTGTACATGCTCTTCATCACCTGAACAAAGAGCAAACAGAAGGAAGCTGCAAAGGAACATGTTCTCTTCCAAATTTCAAATTTCACCTCCCACAAGCTTTTAGATGCAATTAGTAATAGCATTTATTCTTTGAAAATTACTGCAACTGTGCAGTTTGAGGGTGTCCCTCTTTTCATCTCAAATATGGGAGATTGAGCATTCACTCCTATGCCTAGGATTTTAAGTATTTAAAAATACAGTTGTTTGGGACATTCCAATTAATGCCAGATGGCTAATCTGAGCTTGAAGCTGGAACTTCAAGAACATCCAAAGACAATTGTATTTTTTTTGTTACTCAAAGGATTCTCATTTTACTCAATCTTGATTCCAATAATAGACAGGACTGGTTTCTCTGCACTGACCAGAGATGTCACAGGAGAGAAGAGCTCTGACAGATAGAGACAGGATTCCCTGATATCGAGCATAATGGATGAGGGTGTGATACATCTTAGATGCAATGAGTGTTGCCACAACATCCATTCCCTCCAAACGCAACTCTGTCTCCAGCATTTCCCTTTAAAACAAAAAACAAAACATATATATCCATTAGAGATCTTTCCATGCATGGATTACAAAATTAATATAAGGGAAAAGGTTGGATGGATACAGCCTGATTGGGGTGTAGAATGCACCATCCCAATGAGGATTCTTTGATGAGCATCTTTCCCCAATGCAGAAGGAATTACCATATTTACTCCAGTACAGTGCACCACTGTGTACGAGATGCACCCCCACTTTTGAGGTCCCAATTTAGGTAAAAAAAAAAAAGATTCCTCGTGTATAAGGCGCACCCCCCTATTTCATAGTGAAAAGTGTCAGACAAGGGAGATGATTGAGGGGTAAAGCCAGTCTAGGGGTAAGTCGAACCTTGTTTCTTATTCACTGTCCTAACCTTTATCGAGGGGGGACACAGTATCCCTAATGCTTGTTTTATTATACGTGAAAATGGAAGGAAATGTACGGCGAAGTTATATAGCTGCAGAGAAATCCATGGGATTCCAGAAGTGAAGGAGTTGGGCATCCATGCAATAGATTGTAAGTATGACATTGAGGAAAGCTTTATACAGAAGCGGATGGAGGTGAAGACAAAATTGAGCCTGGCTCTAATGAATCTCATGGCCTTTCATGGGGAAAAAGGGATAATTTCCAGTAATCAAGAAGGAAATGGCTGAGAGTGATTGGGTGACATGCACCAGATTTGTTTAACTTTAAACTGATTCATTTTCATAATGGGCATCTATGGGAATAAGTTTATCTCTGTTAAACTGATTCCCATTGGGGACCATTGTGAGATCAGATTAGTTTAGCTTAAACGGATTCGGTGCATGTCACCCATAGAGAAACAAACCCATACGATTGCAAGAGCAAATGGTATCTCTCATTGAAAATTCAATGCATCATGAGGATGAATGGGTGCGATTCATGAAGCGAGTTGGATTTTCTCTTCATCAGAAAACCTAAGTGGCTCAAAAATTTCCATGAGAGATGATTGTCTCTGGAATAGCTCGGAGGAGGAGGATGAGAGTTCCATGAATCAATTTTCCATGCTGCCAGACACCTCAGATTCCAATTCCGATACCAAATGAAGTCTGCGAATCGACGTAGCCACTCCGTGTTAACTGTTCTATTATTATTATATTATATTTCCCCAGTTCTGACTGACTGCAGGCACTTCTTCAGCCTCAATTAGAGACCAATGAGATATAGGTATGCTGAAAAAAATATTTCTTGAAAAATAGAATTTTTTTCCTCAAGTATAAGATGCACCTCCTCATTGAACATAATAAAATATGCAAAAAATGCACCTTATATCAAGTAAATATGGTAGCTTGAGAATCAATGACATTACAATCATATTACTGAAACTTAACCACCCAAAAACAACCATTTTGTGCATCTCAGCTAATACTGTATAAATGACAAATTCAAAATTGGTACAGCATCACTCTTTTGCCTTCTTATTCCTAAATAGTTGAGACGAAGTTATGGTAGAAAATTGAGGAACTCAAAAAAGTATATCCTTTCTGAACCGTTTTTGAGGAAGAATACCTGCATCAAGTAAAAATGCATTTTCTGCAACTGTTCTTGATAGTAATAACATCAAGAAGTGAGAAAAGAGGAACAGCATAGGAGTGTGTCATACGCAGAATGAGGAGAGATAAGAACATGATGCAAATCAAGCAAAAGAACTTGTGTGCTGGACATCCAAGGTACAAGAGGCAAAGGGATGCTTGCTTTGTAAATACAGAAAAATAAAGTAAGATTGTGCTAACTGAGATAGAAATTAATATCCACCATACCACATGAAGTCAGTGCTTGACATTCATCCCTTCCATTAACCCTTCAGCATGGAGTGCTGTGCACCATATGTCATGGCACAAGCATCTCCTGTCACGGAGTGGCATGCAGGGCATACTGCACTCTCTGTTTCTCAAGCTAAACTAAAATCCCTAGGCAGAAACCCCTCCCATAGCAGGGTATGGATGAGAATTTAAATCCTTCCATGCTGAAGGGTTAAAGTATGTATAAAGAACAGAAGCTTGCTTGCAACATGGTAATCATTACAACAAGCAAACTATAGCAAGGAAACTTGCTTTCATGGCTTTGGAGTCTGTTAATAAAAAGGTCAAAATGCAAAAAACTGTCACCTCCTTTTCTCTAGTTTTTGTCTTTCCTTCCCTTCTAGAAGGGACATTGTTTGTAATATGCCATTCCATTATCCATGGATACATCACAGGATTTCTTTAGAGACATCTGCACACTGTGAAAGAAAAAGGGGGGGGGCCATAGTATGAGAGGGACTACAAGGCACACTCTGGAATTTCTTTTCATTCCCTCAGAGGAATCATCAAGCACTCATTCAAGACACACATGCATGCAACATTCTCTGTGATACTCCACAGTACACACTGAGGGTGTCAGTGTTGGGACATGATTAATGCAACTTCATATTGACACAATACAATATACCTAGCCATGATTCCAATCCCATTGGAAATGAGGATGGCAATACTGCTAATGTATGAATCCATGACTTTATGCCTCTCAGCAAAGAACCGTGTAGCATTCCCACCCACAATCAAGAAGCTCACATCAAGTTACATAAAAGTTCTACTTTCAGTGACATTCCCAGGAATTAGTATCCATGTTTCATTTAACTTATGGTATGATCATATTGCCCAATGTGGCAAAATTACACTCACTCAAGATGATGTTAACCATTTGCAATCCACTATTGGACATGGTCTGACCATCTCCAAAGAGTTACAAATAAAATGGATCACAAAAGGTTAAGGCCAGTGCTTTGAAATTTCATACACCTTCAAAGTCCTGTCTCAATCACATATAGCACTTGGCAAACATCTTTTACCAAAAGCCCATGATTGCTGTAGGTGGTTGATATATAGCCGCTTGCTTTCAAGTTCAAGCAAGCAATTCGTGATCCTGAATGTGACATCCAGAGATTTAGACAATATGGCTCAGTTCCCCTCTCAAAAGATATTGAATGATATGATCTTCCCAATTCAGTACTGCAATTATGCCTCAGTCTAGTATCATGCAGACCTAATATGAATTATGTGCAGTGAATCTAAGTATCATGCAGACCTAATATGAATTATGTGCAGTGAATCTAAGTATCATGCAGACCTAATATGAAGTATGTGCAGTGAATTTATGTCCAGTCAAGAGGCTGTGAGAGCACTTGTGGTAGTATAGTTTGCCTGTTGGAGGATGTGAGAACAAGGTGTCTCAATAAGAGGTAGAAAGGAACTGATAAAGATGTTTAAGTTCCTCCTTTTACATAGCAAAGAATCTTGTCACATAACATGTATGAAATGTCATCACATATGTGTGATTTACTCCCCATCCATCTCCAACCAGGCATGCTTCAAAACCAAAGAAACAAGAGAAGGCCTGAGAAGTTACTGGAGCTTTCCCTGGAAGCCTCTGGTCTGGTTTCCACTTATGGAGAGATGAACAAGAAGAAGGATTTTGAGCCGAAGCAATCTTTTGATTTCATTAGATGAGCAGTCTGTGGAGCGGGAGAGAGCAATCTCAACGCAAGCTGCAGCTTCCATGACACGGTCATTCTCTCTAAGCAGCTTCAGGAAACTGCCTGCCTCATTCTGCATTCAATCAATCACTGGTAAATCATCGAATGATGCCTGCAAATGCTGTTCTAGTAGATCTTGACTCACATCGATAGCAGAGTAGAGCCGAACAGCCCGTGCAATCTTTTTGTGAGATTGAGAAAGCATGACACTGAAGGCCTTTTGGTACAGGGAAGACAGAGGGACAAGGGGAGCCCATTTCTCACAGTCCCGAATGGTTGTTGGGATGTCCTGAGACCCACTGACCAGCCAGTTCAACAACTCATCTTCTACACTTGCACAACTAGGAAGAAGCAGCTCAACATGAACTTTAATTTTGACAGACATGCATGGCAAAGCAAGAAAAAAAAAAGTACGCTGCAACAAACCTAAATGACCAGACAAAGACAGCCTGTTGGGTGATGATGAGATAATCACCAGGGGTTTCACCTCGGTCATTGAGGAGAGGCAGTACAGTCATAATGGTTTCTCCTTTAGGTAAGATCCCACGATCTACTGCCACAGCTTTCCCACTTTCATCTCCTCCTGTCTGCACAATAATAATCAAATTTATCATGATAATAAAGGTAATCTAGCAAGACAACAGAAAACAAGACAAAAGGTAATTCACAAGGAAAAGGATGAGTCGATTGCTATTCCATTCAAAGGTAATGAGGAAGCTGCCATGTCCTGTAACCAGCTGCCAGGAGCAATCAGGTGAGGGTGATGGGAGGTCAGGCTTCCCCATCATGTGCACAATGTCTGGTATCACCCGTAGGTCCAATGAGTACTCCTACTCAAAACAAAACTTCACATGAGAAATTTCAAATTATTTCTCATCAACATATGGATTAGAACCTATGCATTTCTTACTCTACTACATTACTAACTGGGAGACAGGTTCTCCTGTATCACAGATAAATAACAATTCTTGATAAAACACTGCATTTACATTTTTGTATTACACAGGTACTTCAGTTGTTCTGAACTAATCCATGCTTGCTATTTCACATTTATTCCCATTTTTTCCCCAGAACATCTATCATTTAAGGATGCTGAAAAGACAGGTAAGCTTTGATATGGAGGCAGGGAACTTCCTGCTCCATACATATTGTAGGACCTTTTCATTTGCAGGTACCAGTGAAAGAAATCACAAAGAAAAGTAATGGCATATTAAATGAAAACCAGGACATTAGTAACACTCATTGGACAGGGTATTAATATCAGTAACAGAGACATACTGATCCCTGCACCCATCACTAAAATAGGAGAGCACAAATGGGGAGAGGAACTTACAGCGACAGATATGGAATGAGGTTTTCCACCCTCTCGGACAGTGAAGAGCTTTGAAAAGCAGTTGGTACCAGGGACAATGTTCTGAGGGGCAAGAAGAGGGAGAGCTGACAACCGATGAACTGATCCACCCCGTGAGTCAAATCCTGATCCTGTTCGTCTCTCAGCTATTCTCTGTTTTAGCAGAGTCAGTTTCTCAGTTGATAGCTGCTTCAACCCAGCTAAGCGGGATCGTATGTCTTGATTGGTTGGCTGAACACTGGCAATTGGAGATGGCTTTCCATGTTCTGCCCAACAGAATCCTGAAGGAAGGTTTTCTAGAACCAGGAGCCATTGGGTTCCCTTATCACCTGTCACCTACCAATAGAAGAAATGTTCCCATATGCTCAGGTGGCCCTGTTCACTCCAATTGCCACACACCCCCACCATATGAATACGATGTAGCCCACAATCAAGTCTATGCTATGAACTAATGGTTAAAATCCTTTGCTCTTTGGTAAGTCTATGAGCTCTGTCATTATCAAGCAAATATGGCCCCCTCAATAGGAAAATAATAATAATAATAATACCATGTAATATAAATAACAAACTGAGGTTAATAAGAAATTACATATCAAGGCTCATGAAGTATGGTTTACTTTATTAATCCATACTATGGGAAATAAATGCCCAAACTAGGTTCTTATACTTAAATTTTGAATACAAAAATTAAATTTGAAATAAAATATAGTGAGAAATCGAGTGACATCAATTCACAGTACAAGAGCTCTTTCAAACAAGGTATTGGTTGGCATTTGCCCCTCCAAAGTTACAAAAACGATGGTTAATCACCACTACTCCCCTGGTGGTCAAAATTTGAGGGGCATATCTTGAGCCCCCCACTAGGATTTTGGATTAATGAGAGTCTGCACAAAGAACAAAATTTATAACACATGAAAGGGTTATCTTATCAATGTTAAGTCTGACATGCTGACTTTGAATATGAACAATTTCCACATTCTTGGAATTTCATGTAACATTGGAATCACTGAATCATGCGATAGCCAAGCATGCTGCTTCAGATGGAGTGGATACGTGCAGCTGATGTGCACAGGGGTTGCTATATCAAAAACACATAACTAAAAAAACACATCAGGTATCAAGAAGAAACACTCATCCTCTCTAAGCAGTTTTTCTCCCCTTTGAAAGCCTGGAAATGGTCAACAAAACCCTCATGCTCTGGGGCTGAACAGGTTGATGCTTTAGTAAGACATACCACTATGCATGCAATGAATCCCAGGATTGGAATACCCTTTACGAACCAGTAGAGTTACGATTCCTTCAGCAGCATTGAAAAGAAGGTGAAGCTTGGAAACTCCCTCTGACATGGCAGCACAATGAACATGTTTCCCTGAGCACAAGTCAATAGCCAGAACAAATCCAGTTGAAGTTCCAATGAGGCCATAGTCATCCCCACAGCGGCAGTGCCACCAAAGGACAGATGTGATGGAGGGGGGTCCATCATAACCCCAGGGGGAAGGGATAGAGATGGGAGATTCATACCCCCAAGGAGAATCTTTCTCTTCCATTCTTAGAAGGTCTGGTTTCAGAGTCACAAGGAGTGGAACAACCCAGAGTCGGGCACAGCAATCTGGAAAATATTTCATTGTAATGAGTTTATACTGTTTAGACTTGATTAAATTGACCTTCCCAGGCCCATAAAAAAAACCCAAGGGATTTGGTATACATACAGGGTAGCAAAAAAAAAAAAAAAAAATTTTTTACTTCAACATGCTGTAAGTCAGGTTGCAGTGCCATGATTTGAATGGGCATTTTGGCATACTTTTAACAACACTTTTGTAGCATATATGAAATTACATGTTATGATATCAAGAGTTTTTGTTTCAACAATGTGAAAATGACTGTCTGTCTGGAAAACTGCTGCAACAGTCCCCAGCTGCCATTTGAGTTAGGGGTCCGTCCACGCCAAGTGGACCTAGAATTTTAGCTGATAATTTTCCTAAGTATGCAAATATTACTTTCACTACAAAAGTTCATCATCTCTTTTCCCAGAAGACATGAATGAAAGAGAATATTTGATTAGAAAATAAAATAATTAGTCATGATTATTATATATACCAACCTCATGATAATGAAAAATGTGATGAAAATGCAAATTTGGAGAGACTGAATTAGACTACTGGAACAGATGCCAGCATGGGCTTTCCATGCATACTGATAATTTCAAATCAGCTCAGGTGTGAAGAGTAGATGTCAATTGTTCACATTTGAATTATATCCATAAAATAAAATTAATATATATGGACAGACTTCTTGTTTCAAAATACACTTTCAGAACATGTCACATCTGACACCATCACAAAATAGGCTTACATTCTGTTTCAAGTGTTGACATCTTGGGTGACTTACACTAATTTCAAGCATTCATTCAATCTATAGAATAAACATGAAACTAAATTATTAGGATCCACTTGATGACAGATATGTGAACATTAGTGCAAGTGACTTTAACTTGGTTCACGAAATGTCACGTTTGACACTTTTCTTTGTACATAGGTATACCTCTAACATAAGAGAGTGCAAGACTTTGGATTATGGAATTTTCAGTCACCACCCAAAGCAAATTGTTACAGCCTTTATATGCTGATTCATCATCCATAATATAGTTACATACATTTTGTATACTAAAAATATTACTCCAGATGTCACATCCGACACCGTAGACAGACCCTTAGAGCAGCAACAGATGTTGTTAATAAGAATGCATTTTATTTTCTATATTATTGTTTTAAGACGTTTTTCCAATTTTTTTTCTATATTAAAAAAAGCAATACTGAACTATCAATACTTGCATGAAGACTTAGCTATGATCAAGACCTTGAGATAAACTCTCAAGGTCTTGATCATAGCCAAGTCATTCATCATTTTTCTGGTATGAGTGTCTAAAGATTTACTCAAATCAAGGCACTGCAGCCTGACTTACAGTGTGTTGAAGTTAATAACTTGGTTTTTTTTTTTTGCCACCCTGTAAATGCCACTCAGGATTTGGAGGTTAGAAAATGTAAGAGGAAAAATTTCCATATGATACTCAATGAGTTCACCTTGTCCATCATACAAGGATTTCCTCCCCACAAAGATTCTACTTAACCACTTCCCAGAATTCTGCCTAACATTTCCTTAAATAGGTGTGTTTGGTGTGTCTTCTGGGATTTTTAATACCTATAATACTCTGAATTTTTTCTTTGTAGTCCACGGACACACAAGTCATGCAGTATCTAGTTTGACAATAGAAGCTAAATCTACTCTGGAAAAATGATAGCACTATCAGTCACACTCATTCTTTTGAAAAACTGCTTGTTCTATTGCTTGAATCAAAAGATAAGAAACATTACAAGAATAAATTCCATTTGTGACCCAGAAGTGAAGTGCACATTCCTCTTTACATCTTTTAGCAAATGGCCATTGATAAAGTATCAAATATCTGAAATTCTTGACATTGAGTTTAGCAGAAAATCCAATGATTCATGTCAAATCAAAAGCCAACTTCAGGCAAATCTAAGACAGTTTTGCACTCAAAGCTGCCAAAGTTAGAATATAACATCTATTAACATTGAGTAATGACTTACTTTGCCTATATACACTCACTAGGCTATACAACAGCGCAATCTGGTCTAGAAGACTGGGGGGGGAGTACAACACTTCACAGGAATCAAGCTAGCTTGCCGTGAGTGTGAATCAAAATTTTAGAGGAACAACTTTTAAAAGTGAAAGCAAAGGATAATTGGACCAAGGATATGAGGATGCAGAAGATATGAGAGATACTGACCCACCAAGAAGAGGTGAGAAGCAGTGGGTGGGCGAATAGAGAGACCCTGAATACGTCCAGCACTGCTTTCCTTTCCTGGGGGAAGGATCCGCTTTTCTACTACACCATTCATGCCTTCATCTCTCTCCTCCTTCCCATATGCAAGTAAGAGCTCTCCCGATCTAGAGCATACAGTCTATCATGCTTGGACTGAAGTTGTTTAAACTAAGAGATATTCATGAAATAAAGATGGCTCACGGGAATGCCAGAGTAGCAACCCATCCAGGCCCCTCGTGATCGACAAGGAAGACATCGCAGGGTGAGAAGTTTGCTCCTTCCACCCGCAGCTTCTCCCTCACGTTGTACATTCTCAACTTCTACTCTTTCTCCTTTCATCTTCCTTCTCCATTGAATGATTTCTCACTCATCATGTTTCATCATCTTCAACTCTACAGCTAGTACTATGCTTTTTGTTTCATTTGACACCTATGTCAATTGAATCAACTTAAACGTTCAGGCAACCAGGACATACTAACTAAGTCATGTTGAATCTCTGCTTCAATTTTATCATAGGTGCATCATTTTCAATTGTGGGCATTCAAGCCCATGAAGGGTGGGCCTCATGGCTTATTTTCCATTTCAATTATGATAATTTTTAAAATTATAAAGTGGACATGTTTTCAGGGTTTGATGATATTCAACTGACTTGGACTAGAAGGTTTCTACTACAATTTCTTCCTGATCACCCATGTCCAAGATTACTCAAGATCAAAAAGGACAATGAGCACTAAATGCCATTTAAAAAATTTTTTTCAGAGCAAAAATAGTTTGGTACCTAGGTACAGCTTGGAATCAAACTTTTATTTTTATTTTTATTGCATGCTTTCACAACACAGTACTGGAGAGTTGGGCAAAAAAAAAATCTGCAGAGCCTACAGGTAGCTGGGCTACAGGACAGTTGGAGTTGGCCATTTAAAGGATATTAGCTACCTTATAACTTTTGGCTACATCATGATTCAAGATTTGGAATGGTATCAAAAGAAAGCCAATGCAATGGAGAAGAAAACCAGAGTGGTTTCATTATTGTCTTTGATTTCTGTCACAAGTAAGTATGCCTGAAGCTTTGAGAAAGTCTAAAGTTAGCCGTGTTTATTGTTAGAACTTCTCAGTGAATTTGGGCTCACTTGAAGAGTTATTCTTTCTCTTCAAAGCAATGAAAGACCTTTAATGCTATCTTGAAAACTTCATTTTTCAACTGTGAGGATAGACCCCATTAGGATGAATTTTATTTCAGGGCTATTAAGTTCATTACAACTCCCACAAAAAATACACTACATCAGAGTTGTAGTATACCACAAGCACCAAAAGTTTAGTCTGAAGCAAGATTTTGATGAGACTGACAGTAACAGGTAACTAAGGCAAAGTTTCATAAGAACACAGTATTTTATTTACTCTGCAGGGAGGGGTGTTTCCATTTTCATCATACATTGTTAATAGCTTAGATTCTTAACCTTTCTCATAGCTTGTATCAAAGGGCACAGAGAAGAATGTTGTCTCCAGTACATCCAGAACTTTTAGGGATGTTTGGTATGGTTCAGTGCAAAGAATATTTTGCCTTTTTTTTTCTCAGTTGGAAGTGTCTTCAAACAAATTAGGTTAAATAATTAAATAATGAGGAAAAGAGGAAAAAAAAAAGAGATTTTCTTTATGTCTTGCAGGGTATTGCCAAAAAAAAGAAACTATATTATTTTTCTAAGGGAGATACACATCATACATATTACTAATTTTTTTCTAAGGATGACTACAAAATAATGCTACACAATGGACAAGACTCATTTCCATTCAGTAAAAAGTCAAACCAAGGTTCACAACAGTCAAACAATGATGGCTGAATCTGAATCATGATTCAATCTAAATTGAGAATAATCAAGGATCTACTATTCAATTCAAGGTTCATTCTAAAGGAATAAGATTTGATTTTACCCTTTTACTGCAGAAATCAGATGTATCCAATTTTAGCTTTACACCCTATGACCACAGAAATCAACCTTATCCCAAATAGTCTAATATCGCATGTCTCCTTCCAGACAGTTTAAACTCCAATTGGCAATAGAGTCACACTGCTTTTCACTTACCTACAGTGAAAGGACTTTTACTGAAAAGGATAATACAACAGCCTGAAATGGGACATGTAAATGTTGAAATCTCCAAGTTATTGATAATTATATTTTGTATGACAACTGGCTTTTTAGTGTTAACAGTGCATCCATTTACAGTGATCCACAAGTAATATTTCAATTGAATAAAAATTTGTTCAAAAAGCAGGCATACACATAAAATTTTAATTTTCAATTTTTGCTCAATAATTGCTTTCTAAAAATGCACCTGAAAAAATAATTAAGCAGCAAAAAGATTAAGGTATATATTAATTATTCACAATGATTTTTTATTCTGATGAGAAGGCACACCTATGAACTGGCAGATCATTGCTGCGATTCCCCTCTTAAAGAAGTGGGACTCAATGGAGTGCACAATTACCATGGAATCACTCACCTCAACATATATAGTATGGTTTTAATGTCAAAGTGATACAAATATATGAGACTTCATGCAATTGTTGGGAAACCCATCCTAGAGGAGCAGTGTATTCAAATGTAAAATGGATCTGACCTAGGCCAGGTGAAGCACCTTTCATTTGTTGTGGATACCTGTGAGATGCAAGAAGAGTTAGAAACACTTAGAAACTTGGTGGGATGGGTGTATAGTAATACCCTGCAATGCTTTATCATCATGCTCCATCAAAAATAACATGACAGCAAGGTCATCTGGTGAAAGAAGAGGGATGAGATGATTCTTTTCCTACATTTGGAATTTGTTTTACTTACCAGATTCAGATATGGAATTATGGGTTAATAATATATCTCCCTCCAATATGAGACAGACTAAACTGATCAAGCAGAGCATGACTGATTTGATTATCTGGTCAGGCCTACAAATGAAAAACTTCTGAGAGGAAAATTTGTTGAATGAAGGACAGGAGAGAACCTAGGATGTCATAAGTGACTAATCACCCAAGTTCCTAATACAATTCAATTTGTTACTCAGAGTGCAGAAGAATGGTGGGATACCTGTGGTGCAATTTACCATCAGCAGAAATTAAGTGATAGTTCTACCTTTGATCAGACTGATCTTAGCACTCCTCTACCATATGGTATTGATGTGTCACGTGAGGAACTGAAGGTAGGGAGGTTGGATGGATGAGAGAGGACGAAAGAAAGCCAGGGGACGGCAGGGAATTGAACCCGGGCCTCCTGATTGCCGGTCAGGTGTGCTACCATTACACCATCGAACCCTGGACATTCAGTCGTGCCTCTCAACACTGCCTTCATCACAGATGCATGGAGATGGTCATGAAAGTGGTAGTGACCATCCTGGTCACTACAGAAGTGACAAGGATGATTGGGCAGGTCAAGTTCTCTTCTACTAGTAAAGATCACATTCACTAGACCATGCCTCTTTACAGCATTGGGATGATTTGTAGCAAGTCTTGGTGGAGATATTTACATTGTTAAGATGTTTCAGTGATAAAAATTTCCAGCTGACACTGTAGAACTGTCACCCTGAGCTATTTAAAGAATAAGCAAGCAAAGCAAACTAACAAAATGGACCTAACAAGGGTTGCAAATACATATGCACACGACTTCTCACAACAGAGACTTTCTTTTTTTAAAATTAATTTCCTCATTTCTTCTTGACAGCATACACCACTAGATTTCCTTCTCTCTTTTGGCATTATTTTTTGTATCTTGCATCCAAAAAATATTCTTATTAAAATGTGATAACATTTTTACTGGAACATTCATGGAGTTCATATGATGAGCACAGCATGGACCTCAGGCCTTGTGTTGAAAAATCAGAGACAACTTCAGAAAAGGAGAAAATCCTTGATGCAAGAGCATGGAAGGGACTTTGTAATTTGAGATATTGTATCAAACTACCTTGCCCTAATTCTAAATTCCACAAGAATATTTTAATGAATTTTTTCCAAAGGAGCATCAACAGTTACAGGATATCACAATCCAGGCTGGAGATCACATCCAACCTCTGTATATGTTATTTGTAGTTGTTACACAGCCAACAAACATATACATTTGGATATTTACACCTCTGACAGGAAATCGTATGCCTATTGAAGACAGTAAATTAAAAAGACTATTTCAGATAATGTTCCAAGTGAAGCTCTGGGGCCTAGTCAAGAGCAAAGAGCCATAGCAATAAAAAAAACAACTGCAGTCATGATTTTCACTAGAACCATAACTTTCATATCTACAGTTCTTTAAGCCTAGGCCTCTGTAGAGTTTCATATTTTGCCCAGAATATAAAAGGTCAAGATGGTTGGTGAAATATATAAGAGGCATGACCTTGTAACTGCAACCATCATAAGCAGCACAGCAGCATCTTGCTTTCAATTCCAAGATAAGTCTGGTTGGTTCTATTGTGGAAGAGTACCCTGCTGTACTTGTCTTACATTAAGAAATGGTGTTTCCTGCAAGTTAAAAAGATGTAGTTGACTGGTTTGTTATTGTAGGAGAAGGGTTCTGTTTATTGCAACCATATTATGTAATAAAGCAGCATTTCAACCAAGATATTAAGGTTGCAACCACAACATCAAGAACGACAATGGAAGTCATTGCAAGCTATGGGTTGGTTGGGATGAGTTTTGGATGGATAGTGTATTCATGTATGAAGTGAGTGAATGTTGGATGTGCAACAACAGCAAGGCCAACAAGAGTCTCTAAAAAATAATAAATCTGTTTATCCTCATGTAAATTAGGAATGTCCACATTTTATAGCAGAAACACTGTATCTTCCTCTTAGAATAACAAGGATGATAATCAGAATAAAAAATAGTGATAAGCAATGATAGAATGGTTCAATGATGAGAAAGCATGCCAGTGAATTCCAGAGCCTGTGTGAATTCTTGCAAACAATGACTAGAGAGCAAGAGGTCATTGACAGCTTCATGCATCACGTCCCATGATCATTCCAGCTGAAACCCTGGTTCCAACTATTATTCATGGCTGGATACCCAGTGTTCAGATAGTCTTGCTGCATGCTGACAGGATAGCAAGGTAATGCATATGGAGGTGGTGGTAGTGGTGGTGGCGGTGGTTGTGTCCAGTTAGCATTCCAGCTTCCTGCCTGGGAAAATGGTGTCCAGTCAAATGCTGATAATGAAGGCCCTGCTCCCCACATTGGGAATGGGGGGAGAGGATAAGGTCCAGGTCTTTCGCTTTGGTGGTCACCGACCATAGGCTGAATTTTATCCATGCCTGAAGGTAACAATGGTGGATTTGCAGCAGTCTTAGGTTCCACTTCCTTCATGCGAAAATCAGCAGACTTTTGCTGAACATCCAAAACGCTTCCTTTCCTATGTGGTTCTGATGTCTTAGATGCAGTAGCCTCACTCCTCGGTTGACCTTCATCAGCATTTGATGCTTGTCTTAGGAAGGAGTCAACATCAAAATCAACTTCAGGAAGTGGAGCATCAGTTGTACCCAATGCACTCAAATGTGCAGGCATTGACATTGATCGATGCAGAGATGCTTCATCCTGCTTCTCAGGTATGGTTTTCCTTGCTTGCTGTGATTCACTAGGTCTGATGACCAAGTCTTCCCGAAGACCAGGTAAGCTGAATGGCAGTTGAGGCTCTGTTTTGTTGGTTTCTATGACTTTTTGTGGTTCTTCTTGCATCCATGCCATTGGTGTACCTTGTTGTCCTGGGAATTTCTGCATAGTAGTTTTTCCTATGATACCAGCATTGTCAGATGATTTTTTTGCATTGAGACTGTCTTTGGCAAGAGAGTCTTGAAAGGCAGTCATTGGCAAGCTGCTGGCCTTCCCAACAGTTAAAGGACTGGCAGGACTACTTCGAGGGATACTCTGTGCATGCCCTCCATGCTGGCTCATAGTAGTGGATCGTCCCATGGGGAGACTGATGGAATTGTGTCGAGAGACTCCTGAATTAAATGCCCCTCTGCTTTGAGTGCTTCCAGAGGAGAATGGCAAAGGAGTACGATTGAATCCAGACTGATACTCAGGTCCTGTGTGGGAAGGAAAGGCATTTGTGGAACTGTTGCGATTCAACCCCCTGGCTCCATGAACAGCTCCTCCTCGGTGTGCCTGTGGCATTCCATGAGAACTTCCTCGTTTTGGAATACCACTTGCAAAGGGCAGTCTACTGGGCAGAGGTGAAGGTCCCCGACTTGGTGTTGGAGGTCGACCACGCGTTATCGGAACACCCATGCGAACTGATGTGGGCAGAGACGGTCTTAAAGCTTGAACTTGAGCAGTTCGAACCATTGGTCTCTGAGATGGCAGTGCCCTCCCGATGTAAGGACCACGGTTTGAACTGGCTCCTTGCCATTGGACTCCTCGTCTCACTGTGGCTGAGTTGGCCATCTGAGCCCTTGGTCCCAAACTCACTGAAGTATTTCTGCCTTTGAAGGCATCAGAAGTTGTGACTGGGGTAATTGTAAGAGTCCCTTGTCCAGCAGGTCTCTGATATGTCACAGAATTTGGTGGTGTCTTGAGAAGATCTTGTAGTTCCTGACTGAGATCAGCCTCTTGGTCTGGCTTGCGAAATGCACTTGCTGGCTTCGATAACGCATCATGGAGATATTCCATTGCATTAGTTGGCATGCCATTGCTACTGCTGCTATGGCTGCTTTCAGCTGAAGGGCCTGAGATTGTTTGCTTCTGAGACTCCAGGAGTCCTGTTAGGGTCAAATTGGAGCCACTCTCACTTACAGTTGGTTCAAGAGGTGTCATCTTGGCTTTCTCTCCATCTTCATCTGAATCATCCAAGTTGATGACTTCAGCAGGACCATTTGAGGCTGTGCTTACACGGTTCAGACCAGGCGTCTGTGCCCCAGGGGGAAGCTTGATGGCCACAAGCTTTCCATCTTGCAGGCGAAGAAATATGCCCTTCATGGATCGTATCACTGTTACTGCCTGACCAGCCCGCAGGCGAATGGGAGCACCATCTCCTGTTGTTGTGGGTATCATCACATCTGAAAAGATGGGAAAATGTCCAATGAACTTTCAAGTCTGGCTTAGCTGGCCTCATGCTCCTTTAAGTTCTGCTACATCAGACTTGTTGCTAGACTATCAAACATTAGATACATTCAGTTATTCATTCATACATTCAGTCCATGACTTCAAGCAGCCTGATATCAGAAATTCATCCAATCTAAAGTAACCTACGGGGTGGGCCAAAAAAAACTTTGGTTATCTTTATCACTCTATAGCCCAGGTCCCCAATAGTTAGCTAAAATTGCAATAGCACCTTCATGTAGAACATTCATTTAGCTTTCCAATGATGACAACAGAATAAAGATTTGTGGCATAGCTTTCATGCAGTTAGATAAAAGAGTTTGAGGTAGCGCTGGTAATACTGCCATACAGCGATGTCTGCTAGTGCAAGCAAGAGGTCGCCTACTCGCCATAAGTGAAGGAATGGAAGTCACCTGGAGCACATCTTATAGGATACTGGTAGGTGCACTTTTCAAGAGCTACCTCTGTCATACTGTGCATAACTGCATCGGAATGACGAATTGGATCTGAAATCTTTTGATATCAATGGAAAGCTAGATAAATATTCTATATAGAGGTGCTATTACAATATTTTCAAACTCCCAAGAAACTACACTGTGAAGCGTTAAAAATAACTGACAATTTTTTTGGCTCACCAAATTGATTTAAATTTTTTTGGTGCATAATCACACAGGATTCCCAGATCCCTTGAGAGATTCCATTAGGTCCAAGTCCACTTATTGACATCTGCAAACTCTTCCACTAATGAAATTCTTTGTTCCTGAGAAGGAATTTACCCTGAGCAAATTTTCCTTGAAAACAGATTTCCCTCAACTACACTCCCTCACAAATTACTCTATGAAAGGACATGTGACAGGAAATTTCTTTATTTTCAAATGGTATCAAGCTTCTTGCCCCCCTATAATCAGCCCCAGGGATGAAAAACTTCTCACACAGGGTAGTACAATGTATTCCTCCCACCTCAAGAGGAATTGGCCATAGTTCCCTTCAAAATTATATCAAATCTACCAACTGTTTCACAGGAATTAAAAATTAAAAAAATTAAGTGAGGGATTTTCTTTTGATTTACACAAGGTATCTGGTGGAAGACATTAGATTCACCATGACCATAACTTTTTAAATTGAATATTAAGATTGATTCCTTGACAACTGAAATTTTCCGATCTGATAGCAGCTGTCATCAACACCTATCAAACTTAGTTCCACAGTGAGCCAATAGGCAGTAGTTTGCATTTCAGCATCTGGCATGCAACTGCAAATGGTGTTCCTCAACAGTAAAATGTAGTGTGTTCTATGATTTGCTAAGTTATAATCTATAATTCCTGGCTTGATCCATTCTGCCATGGCATGGCTCACCGCATGTGCCATGGATTCTCATGCATTTGTAACAACTGGGAATCCTTAGGTCAATGTTTTGTAGACAACTCCAATTTGCCTACTCAACAACATCTAGTGGCATGCCTAAGACCAGAAATTTCTTCTTTCCTTTCTTCTTAGGTTCCACTTCTCCCTCATTTGCTCACTCCTCTCTCCTTTGACATTTTTCTAACAATTGTCTTTTATTCCCAAGATATTTTATTTATATTTTCCTTGATTTTACTTTTTGTCTGTCAGGACAATGGACACACCATAATTCCACAGAGAAATATGAACTATTATTATTCTTATGTGTTACATGCATTTAAAAAAAAAATATCCTGCAGGGCTGCTTCCTTACATCAGGGATGAACCTTCCCTTGAGGGCTTTCAACTCACCCTGTCATTATTGGGGACAGGTATTTAAAGAAACCCTGACCCCCCAAAAAGGGCAGGTAGTCAAGGTCCTTTAGCTCGCCAAATAGACCCAAAGAGCACAAAGAGAGCCCAGGATGACCTGTTTTTGCATATTTTTGGCCAGAGATGAAGCTACTGGCCAACAGGCTGGAATTCTTTCCAGTGCTGACAGGAATGACATGACCTTCATCCTGCCAAGGCACCTAATAATCATGACTACAAGTGTGACTTTGTGACCAGGATATATTTGTTGAAGCTTGAATATGAGGACTAAATTTTTTTTTCCTTTTCTCTTCCTCTTATCATTATTATTATGTGTAAAAGAAAATACCACAGATTAAAGAAGCATCAAACAACCGTTTGACAAATCCAACTGCACGGGAGCATTCTAAAAGTGCATTAATGCTTTGGATCAGTATGCAAAGGCTTCCTTAACCCTTTGCGGTTCAACCTCATTCCCTGGATGAAATTTTTAAAACTGCAATTTGGTCCTATCTCATCCTCAGGATGAAAAAACTTACACACTATCTCTCAGGTCCTATACCATCTGTAGGATGCGACACTATGTTTATCTAACATGTTACTCACATCCTTTATTGAAACTGTGCAGTTATTGTTTACATAAGGCCAGTTTATCCAGGGCAGTGCCATCCAGAGTGTTGAGTCAAAGTTGTCGCGTTATGATAATAATTTTGCCCAATAGAACAGTGCTATTCTTTTGCATGTTTATTGGTGTTATTTTTACTTTATCGGAAATAAATAGAAATACTGAAATAGAAATAATAAACCTCGTTCGAACCTTTTTAAATAAAAAACAGTGTAAAAAATTGGACTTTTTGGCCTGCGAAACTTAAAAATAATAGGACTGCAAAGGGTTAAATGTCAGGCTTCAAAGAGCAGAAGGATTTCTAATCAAGGATAAAAATATCTAGGTGAAGAAACTATAGCCATTACATCAGCACACTTCTCATGAAAACACAGCCTATGTTCTGAGCATATGCAAGCTAATTTATAAGGACAGACTGTAAAATCTCTAAGGGATCTTAAAGTGATTCATCAGAAGGCATACCCAGTGATCACAGATGTATTACTTTCATGGCTACTCTTTCCACCTTCAGAATATCTATATAGCAAGCTCAAAAAAGACTTGTGAAACCATGAAAAAAAGGAATTGACATACCTTTGGGAATTGTAAGCTGCTGCATGGTAAGGCCCTGCCGTGCCAGCAATGGGCTGGATGTCACCTTATTGAGAAGTTCTGTTTGCATAGGAAGGGCATTGCCCACTTGTTTGCCATATGGGAAAGGACCTCGGTTCATAAATGAAGGTTGAAATCCACGGGGATTCATAAAGACATTCCCTCCAGCAATACGAGGCATGTATGGTGCATTGCCATAGCTATAGGAACCATATGGAGCACGCATAGTTGCCTGCTGCTTCTCTAATTCGTAGCTACGTTTGGCTAGTCGCTTTTCAGCCTCACTCAGTTTCTTGTCTTTGCGATCAATCAGCAGTGATTCATGAGCAAAGGGTTCCTGAAATTCATGAATGAGTACATAATTAGACACATTCTCAGATCATCAAAGAAATATACTTGAAATCATTAGATATCAAGGTTCAAGGTTTGGGTGAGTGTGGGTGGGGGGGATGTTGAGAGATTTTTGCTCATTATGATGTCCTGTGTCAAGTTTGAGCATTCACATAAAGTAGGCTTACCTTTCTTTACTCTTTCACCTGTGAGTTTTTCCAAGTCAGAGCACTTGCCCAAAGTGAGGTTTTTCTGGCAGAATGACAGTTTGCATTCACGTGCAATTTTCACATATTCTTTTGAATTATTCTGGGGACTGTACCAGAATCAAATTACAAGAGATTACAGAAAGGTACATATAAAACTACAACAATGTGTACTCTGTCAGAGCCCACCTTGGGCAAAACTTTGCAGCTAACTGCTACCCCCTTTTCACTTTGCTCATTAGGACATCTAATGCTAGTCATGGAAATGGCACCCACTACAGCATTACCTGATGTGTTCCATAGATACACCTCCCTGCAATTAAAGAAGTCAACCTACCTTGGTCCAAGTTGACTATGCAACTTGGACCAAAAAAGTTCTATCATCTCTTTGTAGGCCTTCCATGATCTCATGATGAGTCTCAGGAGCATTCTGCTCCTGAGACTCACCAACCTGCTTTTTCCACACAGCTCCCATCTCCCTCTTAAGATTGGTACATCAGCTTTATTTTTCTAAATATAAAACACTTCCTCACAACAAAAAAAAACACTTTCAAAATAGGAATTGTAATCATACTGACACTTCCCAAATAAATTCCTTGGTGACACAAGCTGGAATACCATCAGGGCCTATTGCCTTTCTTGCTTTTAGTTCCCTATCCTATTCATGATCTTTTCATGGTGATAACAATATTCCTGATCAGTAACATTGGTCATTGCCATATAAAATGAGATTGATAAACATTCTTGGGATTTTTCTTTGCATTGATAGCTCCATCATTGCTTAGGCCTTACCCCCCACTTCTATGTCCTAGTAATCTAATATTCCTCATCCTCCATTTGCTTATACATACACCTACACAAATTCAATTTCAGCTTCTTACATTATATATAAACAACTGGGTAATAGAGAGGAGGTGGGGAGGAGGGAGAAGAAAGAGGATCTCACACCATAATGTTCAAGTGACTCACAACTAACCACAGTGAGGTCCTCTCTAATGCAGACACCTAGCTTTTTATGGCAGCTTTATAGAATATAAACTTTAAATGCTTCAGAAGATGAGCAATCATGATCTTGATCACCACATGAAATTCATTGAATGGGCATTACAACAGGTGAATGAAGATCCAGACTTCCAAGCAGAGTGCTCTTCAGTGATGACACCATCTTCCATGTTAATGGTGAGGTAAATAAGAAGAATCATCAGTATTGGTTATCAGAAATGAGAGGATCACTCATTAAACATGTATTGTGAATGTATGCAATAAATACTATGGTTTTAAACTATTTAATAACCATGTAATATATATACATGTGCACAACCTCATTTAGAGAAAAGGGGACCTTAAAGCTGAAAAGTTTTTTTTTTCCCATAGAAATCTACACATTCTTAAAGGATTGTTAACCAAAGGAAGTTTCAGCATTCAGGCCTATACATATCTGAAGGATAGCCTCAATGCTATACTGAAAGACCCAAAGAGCAAATTCCAAAATGTCCTCACATTATGAAAAATTGACCCAGACTGAGTTATTTATTGTTATAAGCAAATGCTTCCAGTTGTCTGGTATGAGAACAGATATGTGTACAGATATGGATACAAACCTTGGTAAGGTGTGCTCCATGAGTCTTCAAGACACATTTCAGTACTTGATCAGCAAAGTCATCAGCCTGTGGTGCAAAATCTTTCTCTGGAGGTTCAGTATCATCAAGGCTGAGGAGATTGGTGGAGTCCCGTGTCCAGAGAACATTGTCAGGGTTCAGTTCATCAACAACCCGATCAGCTACACCTTGCTTGCTCACTTGCCGATCATACATCTTTCTCTCCAAGCAGTTGTCAGTCACCAGGCGATAGATGAAGCAAGGTTTCATCTGACCATAGCTGTGACAATAAAAGGAAATAAGTTGATAATGGAATGCAACAAGAATACAGCATGGTGTTTAAAAAAAAAAACTGCTAAAATCCAATTATGGTTGAAATATAGGATGTTTCAACAAAAAAAAAGCTAACACTGTAGTAATGGGTTTTTCTAGCATTATATTGAACATGGAAAATGAAATGTTCATGTCAGAAAGAAACGAGATTATGCTTTATTAAGATTAAGCTGAAAACCACATGAAAATCAACTATTTCTGAAGTGAGATATGGAAGAGTGAAAATTAGACTTGAAGAATTTTAAACACCATCACTAAAGGATGTGTTCAAGGCATGCTCAAGGCATTCAAGGTGAGATTGGTCATCAAGAAGATTCTTTCATTCAATAAATACTGTGGCATTTTTTGCAGACAAATGCCCAAAAACCAGAAATAGTGAAGAGTCCCCTGGCAATACACTTGTAGATCACTTGCTTCTTCAAGTGCTTCCATTGCTGGATTCTCTTATTTAGGCTGCTTGCAATGGTTCTCCAGTATGTCTGAATTTTGGTAAAGTAAACTTTTTCCTTCCATATCTCACATCTGAGTATTTTATTTTCAGGTGATCTTCAGCAATAGAAAGATCTCATTTTAACTGCCACAAAAAATTTCATTAAAATTGCACATAATACAAGAAAGATCAATTCTTGCAGTGTCAACTTTATTTTCGAGACACCCTGTACATAGTATTCATGGCAGCAAAATACCCTCTCCTACTCTACTATCCTTCAAGTGTGAGCTTTATTAACCTCTACAGACCCAATGGCAATGTTACATGGTGATTTTGAAGTCATTTGGCTTGTGGTCCAGGCTCCACCTCTGGTGGACAAAGCAAGAGAGCCAATGGGTTTTATTCCTTGGAGGTGTGCAATTGGCAACATTCATTTTGTGAGAGAAAATGAAGCTCATGGAAGCCAGCAAAGCTCTTATTCAACAATGTTTCTAGGCCCCATCTTTGCACTGACAATAGTAACAATTTGGGCTTGGTGGTATTTCAATACTACTGAAGTACCATGATAGCCCACACTCTTCTAAACCCCCTCTCCCACCTGCTTGCAAGGAAGAGTTCAGTAATCCCTAGATACTGGTTCCTGCACACTGTGGTTCTCGCATTTCCAAGTACCCAATATGTGAACAGCACCACAAGCATTGCTACCTTGGTTCATGTGCAGGTTTTATTTCTGGCCTTCTGGTCTTTGTTTTCACCTGGTGCTTGGAGGACTTGAACATATCATCATTCACAAGTAGATCAGTGTCACTGTCTCCAAGCTGATCAAGGTGTTCCATGTAATGGCACACTGAAGCACAAATCTACTGGTGGAATGCCTCATGGCATGTATACATATCTGTTTGTTTTTACTCATCCCATGAGAGCTCTGTAATAACTCAGATATCCCCTTATTTCTAAACAGTTTCCCACACAATTTGGTAATGCAGTTCATAGGGATGGGCGGTCAATTGACTGGTCAATTGATCATCTTTTAATTGACCATTATTGACCACTAGTTTTTTTAATTCAGTGAATTAATATATTTTTATAGAGCTCATAACAGTGGTCATTTATCCCCCAGCACTAAAACCAAAGAGCCAGTTCCATTTTTAAGATTTGTTCATGCAGCCTGCCAAACACCTAGACTGTGGCATCTGTTGCATATGAAAACATTTTAGCAAATGCTCAAACTACCATGACCTTTCACCTGAGTGATGCAGAGTGTGTGTGCAGGCATAGCTTGCAGTTCAAAGTTTTATAGCCTCAAGGACTTTCATAGTTAAGGTTCAAGATCTAAGTAACAGTTTTAGAACTTTAGTTTCATGCGAGGTCAATCATGGTCCTGGCTAATAGTCTGCATCAGAGCATCAAATTATTCTCAAAGTCTGTGATCAAAGGACAAGTACTTGGGTTATGCCTATGCCTATGCCTAAAAAAATTAATCTAGCTATGAAACATGATTCATTACTGTTTACCCTATAGATTGCATGAGTTGGAACATTAAATTTTATCTTAGCAATGATATGTTGACTGGTCAACATGGTCATTTATGATCATATAGTCATAAGGCCTAACCTCTTGTTGGGCTCATAACCATTATTTTCTGCAAATGGTCTAAAATGACCATGTTGACCAGTCAATATCCCATCCCTAGTCTATCACTTGTGAGTCATGACATTCATAATGGTGCAAAAACTATGAAGAAAAAAATAAATAAATAAATAAAAGTTGGTCCTATTTACCAAAATTGACCATATTGACTGGTCAATAACCATCCCTACCAGTTCAACATGCATAATAACTTTGGGTAAATAATGTGCAATTCATAAGAACTTTTATGATTGCAGATGACACTTGGCCATATTTGCAGAAATCCCAAGTTCACAAGCTCCTGTTGTGATGCATGCTGAGTCTTATGAGGCACACACATTTTTTTTGGGAGCTCTCTTTAATTCTGCTATGGGTTACAGTGTTATTCATGTAGAAAAGATTTGAGCAAGGATTTCCCATTTCTGGTGCTTGGCATGTGTACATGCCAAAGGGTCTGAAGAGGTTAAGGATTGGTCCAGAGTTAGAAGAATTGAGAACAGTCACAGAGAAGTATGAAACTCATGAGATGTTCTACCACCAAATATCAGGGAAAAAGGATTTCCACTGATCAGATGTGTTCAAATAGATGTCCTGCTTAGGAGCATGCATCCTTATTCCTACCAAAACAAAAATCCCCAAGGTTCTGGAAACACCAGTCATAGGCACACCATTTTGAGATTAGGGACAAAAAATGTAATGTTTCACTAATCTCCCAGGATTAAGGATGAGAGGATTCCCTTCCATCACTCAGCAACCCACATTCATCAATCCTACCCAGTTGACAAGTGGTGGATGGGGATGCTAAGGAAGCTAAGGAACCCTGCCCCACTTTATTTTGCAGCCTGGTTTCTGTCTCAGTCCTGATTCCCCTAACTCCCTTATATCTTGCACCTACAAACCTTCCCCAAACACATCATGTACACTGCAGTCTCTTCCCTTCCTCCCTGCTACATCATTCAGTGGAGCCATTTGTTCTCGTGTGTAATGCTTGAAAAATCCCACAGCAACAGCCTTAATTCTATACTTTTTCTTTCTCTCTTTAACCATGGGACACTGTAACATGCAAATCTCTGAGTGTCTGAGCTTGCCAAAGCAAATCTAGGTTTTTACCCATGAAAGTCAAGTCTGAGAATGTGGTTATCAAAATGCAGTTTCCAAATGTTCTATGCACCCCTGATCATTTTAACCCTTTCAGACCTGGCATCCATTCCAATGGACATTGCATTTACATTGTGTCTATGGCAACTTCTTAAAATTCTCGTGACTTTGCGCTACATATTACGCTAAAATGGGCGTAATTATGCATGGCTCAGTTCCATCAGAGGCCTTCGCTTACCCTTTACTATTTTAATCTTCAGTTATTTAATTAAATGTTTAATATATAATATATGGTATGATATGGTTAATTTATACAAAATATGAAAACTATATAAAAAGCACGAACATTTCAATTAAAATCATAAGAAAGCTAGAAAATGCAAAAAGGATATAATTCCGATAGCGGCCAAAATTCAGGTCTGAAAGGGTTAAAGGATCTTGAGGAAAATATATGCAAAGTGCATGTGAGATTGAAAGGGAAAAAATCTCGGGTATTCAAGCTGGGAATTGCAGTTATTTACCTTTTAAATTACTCTTTAATTACACTTAATAACTGTTACTTGTTATTTGTTGCAATCTGCAACGGTTGCAAGATGGTCATTCAATAACACCGAGGAAAAGTGATTTTAAATAATGCCTTATCTGCGATTACTTTAATTTGGTATATGGTCCCAAGGTTCTCTTTGAATCACGTGACTAGAAACTAGTGCTAGAAACAAAAATACGAGATTAATCATCGTAGAATATCGAAGAACTCCGTTGCGTCGCGGCTCAGCCGTTGGCCGTACGCAGGCAGCTGAGAAATGTGTTATATGTGCTCAGCAAATCCCTTCTCGTCGTCTTCGTGGCCTGTTACGAAACGAAAACATGGGGCGATTATTGGCTGCAAGGCGTTGTAAGGAGTTAAGGAAAAGGCATTGCCCCCCAGTTAGTAAAGGAATGAGTGAATTGAGGGACTCACATCGAGATTTGTACTGCAAGTGCCGTATTTCGTCTTGAGGTTCGTGTCATTCGTGATGCAACTCTTCACCGTGGTCATGAAGCTCTGCATCGTCGACACAGGGGAGAGAAGCAGGTTCATGTAGCCGGCTCCCTGTACGAGGTTAAGGAGAGTGGTTTTTTTTTTTTCATCGAGATACTTAAGGCCCTTGAGATGTATCATGTGAACAGGATGAAATGAAAGGCACAAATTGTATCATGAGACATACGTCGCATCAAATGTATCAGATGTAATGCACCGTGTGAAATGTGCAACGGGCACGGGTTGCAGTGAGTTGAATTTATGATAAATGTAAAGTATTAAGTTAAAATAAAATCTATACTTAAACAACGCGCCCTGATTGCACTACATTGAATTCCTTTTCAGGAAATCAGGTCTAGGCCAATTCAAATTCGAGAGGGAGTAAGTAGGACGTAATTCAAGAAAAAAAAAGTATTTCCAAAAAAATTGCATGGAAAAAGACAATATAAAATTTTATTGGAACTGACGTCTCAAAACGCTCTCCAAATTTTAAAACTAATGACAGAATACAAAATCTTGGTTACATTTCTCCCTTGAAAATCAATGCAAGAAAACTACCGGTCCAACCCCTTTACAATACCTTCCAATTACAATGGACTCGTGTTCATTTCCATGTCTTACAAGTTCGGGGGAAAACTCACGGCCTTCAAAAAGATCCTGTAACTACAACGTTTTTCTTCTGTATGTTGTTGAAGGTGGCCAGTCTAAGAGCACCCACGATGAAATGGGCCAGAATACCCCTGTCAAATCGGTATTAATCGAGTTCCAGAATTTCTGTTCTTCGGTCACCCCGGAGTGAGGGATCGAGGGAGTGATCTTTAACTGAGATTCTTGTTGGATTGGAGGATAGGTTTTGGAGATTAGACTTGATTGGAGGGACTTTGCACCCGTTCACATGATGATATTATGGCTCCTTGTGTAATGTTTGGGCAGCACATTCGAGAAGATAGAGAGAATAGAAGAACCCGCATTCAAGCGGTAATGAGTCCTACAATGTTTGGTCGACCCCAAACACTTGGTTCAGCTCCATATCCATGCATCAGCACGTGTCAATGGAGGGTTCACGTTCAACTCCTTCGGCTTCCTCCCCGCCTTGACCCTCCACTGATACACTCCAAGGGGCGTTGCGCGAAGATCATAGGTTGGCATACGTTACAAATGTATCATGTGAAATGTATCATGTGAAATGTATCATGTGAAATGTATCATGAGAAATGTATCATGTGAAATGTATCATGTGAAATGTATCATGTGAAATGTATCATGTGAAATGTATCATGAGAAATGTATCATGAGAAATGTATCATGTGAAATGTATCACATCTTCTGTCATGGCAGACCCAGCAGAGCCTTTCTTTACCGGCATTATGTTTTTAAGGTAACTTTGTAACCAACGAGAGCAGCGATCGACATTTTGACCAACTTCCAAAAACACTTGGTTGCAGGGTAATCACTGGTCAAGTACATGCATCAAGTTAGACGAATTAAATTAGGAGATTGCTAATGTGAAAATTGCGGCGCAGCCTGCCTTCAACACGAGATAAAAACAATTTCAGAAAGCGTGATTTTCCATTTATTTGAAGTACTATGAAGTCAAACTTGCAAATATTTGACATTTATTTGCCTTTGAAAGGTGGATTACGACCTCTTTAAAGAGTTCAAGACCAATTATTTGACAGCTCTGAGCGCAGATGGCTCATCTTGGAATCCCCTTTACAAGTGGTGACAATTATTATTTCATCCTTCCTGCAGAAATTATGAGACGAAGAGAGATGAATAAACCAATAATCTAGTCCATCGATTTGCATCATACAGGATTAGGATCAAGATCGGGATCGGGATCAGGATCAGGATCAGGATCAGGATCCAGATCAGGATTAGGATCAGGATCAGGATCTGGATTAGGATCTGGATTAGGATCTGGATTAGGATCTGGATTAGGATCTGGATTAGGATCTGGATTAGGATCTGGATTAGGATCTGGATTAGGATCAGGATGACGATCTGGATTTTTCCTGTTGCCATCTCTGAGCATTTCCTCAATTTACCGACAAATAATTCCCTTGAAGTAGTCTGAGCTTGACCAATAATGTCTCATGGACTTTATTGGTCCCCCTGCTGATTCCCAACTTATTACCAGCTTTTCGATATGAATTAAGAAAAGAAAATTGAGAAAATCCTGAAACCTCAAAATCACTCCTTATACAAGTGTGAAGTTTCAAATCAACTTTTAACATTTTGAATAGTGAAAAATGTTTTCATGTTTTCCACAAAATACCTTCACGTTCCTATTTCTTCTAGTTTCGAGGCAAGCAAGAGTCGAGGCTGTGTATTAAATCGCTCGAAAAATGTCTGAATCTGCATTTTGATGACTTCCTTGGGACGTCACGCTCTTACCCGAATGCAGCTTCGGCAGGTGGACGGCGTGGTGGCCTGCGAACAGATGAGAGCTTGAATTTGGATCAGGAAGTAACCTTGGCCCTCAGGCACCTGTAATGCAGGAATTTTAAACTCAATTTAGTTATGTATTTTTCGATCGATCGAGATTTCTTGGATACTTTGAGCTTGGAAAACACTTCAGGAACTCCAAAAGTCTTGAAAACCATCCAGAAAACCATCTGGTCGGACGGAGCCCATACGAAGAAATCCGATAGGATCCTATGATTTCTTTGGAATAGAAAAATCGTATAGGATTCGTATAGGAATACTATGAGAATTCATCATTCAAAAACCTTATAGGATCGTATGGGATCCTAATGGATTTTTTCGTAAGGGGAGTGAAGTTATACAAGTTATTTTCAAACGAAAACTTCCGTTCCAAAGATTTACTATTTTTGGAGCCGCTAAAAACTTCATCTACAAGAACTCAAAGCAGAACAAGGCAATTTTTGAAAATTCCTCCTGCACGAGGGGAATCAGAGAATCAGGAATCAATTGCCCACCTTTGAGCTTTGTTACGCTATCGGGCAAAAAATCCTGAAATTTTCGCCACTTCCCAGACGAGAAAAGCGCTTCCTGGAAGAAAAGTTCCAGGCACGTTCTCGCCCAATCTTTCCCCTTTTTCAGCAGCGAAATAAATATGTCGTGGATGGTTCGAAAAGGTTCTTGGAGCCCTGCAAAATGTCTGGCAGGTGGGGTAGTACTGCGGGGCAGACTGTCATTTTTGCCGAATTCTTATTGCATTAGTGCTTTGTGAACATTTGGCCGTAGGCACTCGGTTTGAAAATTAATAGCAATTCCAATCAATTGCCAAAGTGCGTGCTACTACAGGTTTTACATTGTAAAAAAATGTTCCTAGCCATACTTACCAGAGAAACGAAGAGGATCAAAAAGGCGCAAATCGACGAGGAAACCTTGAGATGCATGTCGAAACGCGACGAAGTGCGACGAAGTGCGACGGAATGCGACGGAGTCCCACCAGCGAAGGCGTGCGTTCCCTCTGGATCCTCTCGATTGCAATGAATGCCGTGACGCGACTAGCATTCATGATGCTGCCCCGCAACCGAGCTAGCCGTCGATAATAATTATCCTATGGAACTATCAATCGAGGGAGGAGTTCTAGGTCATTCATGACTCACACTCGCTAACCCCTTACTTCTTCTTCGAGGACACCGCCTTTCTTAAATAAGAAGTGAGCTCTCATACCTTAGACGTCTGTGTGTGTGGGCGAACGTGGGTCTGTGTATGCATATTGGAGTATTTGGATAGAAGACCCTCCTCGCCTTGCCACCATTTGTTCTGGTGCAGGCCATGCCCTGGGAAGTCCGAATTTTGAAACTCCGCCCATATAAACTATGACCATAACCGGACCAAATGAGGAAGCCATGCAAAGTTTGGTCGGACTAGTATGCCCTTACATAAAGGACAGAAAGACAGAGAGGCACAAAAACATTTGCAAATATAATATACAATAGATTGCGTCCCCATCGATTCTGGCCCCGTAACATATGCAGCACTCGAGCCCCATTCCCCGATAACCATGCGTCTACTAGACAAAAATTGCACTCGTGTGGGAATATCTTCCCATTCCCTTTCCCTCGGACACAAGACGTACATGCAGTTACATCCATTCAAATTCCGTCTATTTCCTCCCACCCCCCCCCCCCTTTTTTTTCCCCTCTCCGTAGCAGCACGGTTGTTTGCCTCTCTTGGTTTCTTTCTTATACTCGCACTCCTGCGTAGTTCCTCCATCATCAGGATCCGTGATCGAATCTTGTTACACCTTTGCAGGCATTGTGCTTTATTACACCGTTCCACGGGGACTGGGCAAAGGCGGTCTTACCCAATCCACGTGTAAATTATTGAACAGGACATTATCTGAGTCAGATAAGGGTCATTAAATTAATTATACTCCTCATTACAACACCTCGTAGTCTTTCCATGTCTTTCAATGTCAGGGAAAGGGGAAAGAAATAGCAGGAATGAGGAGTGCATCCCGCCAATGGGAAAGAGGGGACGCAAGAAACCTCCCTTCCCGTTCTCAGCGAGACATCCACCTCCCCGAGAGCCCCCGCGTAGCGGAGTCAATCGCGACTTGATTGCGAGCCATGCCAGTCGAGGATCTAGATATGGAGCATCCGATCGACGATCCCTTTCTTTGGTGCTATGATCCGGAAGATCATCTTAAATCATAACTTCTAAAAGACGAGTTGATCTTCGTAGAGGCGATGGGAGATTAGCAATATGTAAGCATGGGCCTGTCGGTGAGGTGTCCTCGGAAGCAACGAGCACCCGTTGGGATTCAATTTCATGTAGTTGTGGTGGACCCATTGGTGGGACCCATTGGTCCTCATCGAGGATGACTTGAATATTGAAATGAAGATATTTTGAATGGTCGATAGAGTATTATCACGGACACCTTCGTAAGTACTAGTTCGTACCAGAAAAGCATGGTTCACCATCGTCGAGAAAAGGAATGGACCAACAGCCTTAAGCCAAGGTCATGCCTAATGATCCCTTTCTGCTTTCGCATCGCAACGGGAAAAGTATTTCCAGCTGAGCGAATCAAATAATAAATAGGTTTAAAAACTTCAATTTTAAACTTTTTCATTTCCTACCCTGCCTACCTTGACGAGCCAATTGGCCACCATTGGCCCATTGGCTGACGCAAGTTACCCTTTTCACAAGACGATGCCAGGTTTTTGAGTCGCTGCCATGCACAACCTGTCCTTTCAGACGATGAAACCTCACGTCTTCAAAGATTTTCACAAGAGCGGCAAGTCGCTTGGCGAAAAACATCTGGTCAAAACGAGTCATTGCGATTTTATGCCCCCCACCAAAATACCCGTCTGCACATGAGTCACCTGTTGTATTTCAGTCACCTGTGGGAAGATGCGATTGGGCATCACTCTCCGAAAGTGACGCCCGAGAAGGAAACCCTTTAGTTCCTCAAGGTCAGTCGAAGAGGTCCTTAGAGGCCAGTCGAAAGCTTCCCATTGGAAAGGAAATCAAGGAAACTGACTGAAGTCCCCGAGTTGGTGAAGGTACGTTTGATGGTAGGTTTTTTATTAATAGAATTTGGAGATTTATGAAAGCAAGGAAGTTTCCAAAACAGTGATGCCAGAGTAAAAAAAAATATCTGCAATGAGACAAAACCGTTTTAAAGGGTTTCAGGGCGCTTTTTTTTTTCTCTTCGAATTTTCCCGAGAAAAGACGAGTATGGCTGCATCCACATTTGGCGCCCCTTCCGCGAATTTGGAAGGGTCAAAGTAAAATTTTCTGAAATTTTCTCCAAGAGGGGAGCGGGACGGTAAGACCATTTCACTTCAGCGTATCTTAACATATTCGAGGAATGTACTTATTTTATTGTACTTATTAGTTTTATGTCTGCATCTCTTCTCGTGCAGGAAGAGGAACGAACAATGATACGGGACGATGAGATCGGCAGATGTGACTTTATTAGCGTCGAGATCTTTCACAGCATTTCAATAAAAATTTTCTGCTGTAAATGAAGCAGAAAATTAATTTTAAAATAGTTCATCTCCATACCGAACGAGTGCAGGCATCACAGCCATTTATTCCTACTCCGCTGTTGCCCTCTGAAGTGCCCGAGAGTCGTGGAAAGATTGAGGGAATATTGAGGAAAATGTAGGCAAAGTGCAAGGAAAATTGAGAGGGAAAAAAATATATGGGTGCAACAACTGGGAAATTCGTTTTCTACCTTCTAAATTACCTTTTCAATTGTTAAAAATATTTGTTGGTATCTCCAGCGGTTTCAAAAGTTGAGTCTTTTTCAAACACAATTGAGCAGTGATTTCGAATAGTGCTGCAATTACGAATTTTTTAATTTGGTACTTAGCCCCCATGTTTCCATTTAAATCACACAACTGCGTGAGTGCTAGAAACAAAAGTACGAGATTAATCTTCATAAAATATTGGAGAAATCCGATGCATCGATCTGGACGTCTTGGCCGTCCTCAGCCATTGGCCGTCCTCAGCCATTAGCCGTCCTCAGCCATTAGCCGTCCTCAGCCATTAGCCGTCCTCAGGCAGCTGAGGAATGTGTTATATGTGCTCAACAAATCCCTTCTCGTCGTCTTCGTGGCCTGTCGTGAAAGGAAAAAATGCAGCCATTATTTGCAAGGCATTGTAAGGGGTTGCAAGAAAAATGCATCGCCCCAGTTAGTAATGGAATGAGCAAATTGAGGGACTCACATCCAGATTCGTCGCGCAACTGTTGTATTTTGCCTTGAGTTTCGTGTCGCTCGTGATGCAACTCTTCACCGTGGTCATGAAGCTCTGCATCGTCGACACAGGGGAGAGAAGCAGGTTCATGTAGCCGGCTCCCTGTCCGACATTGAAGAAAGCATCTGCATTATTTTCCTCGATAGACTAAAGTGACTTGGAATGTATCACACGAACATGATGAAATGAAACGCACGAAATGCATCAAATAAGTCACGAAATGCATCAAATAAGTCACGAAATGCATCAAATAAGTCACGAAATGCATCAAATCAATTTTTTAAATCAATGTGTAAATTAAATTGTTTAAATTGTAATTAAATGTTTATATTAATGTAAATTAATCTTAAGTAATTAATGTGATCGTGACATTCACGCTCTCACCCGAATGCAGCTCCGGCAGGTGGAAGGCGTGGTGGCACTCGAGCAGATGAGAGCTTGGATTTGGATCAGGAAGTATCCATGACCCTCAGGCACCTGAAAGGAAAATTTCAATTCAATTTCTCAGCCGGGTATTTCATTTCAGGCACCATCGAGCGAAGTTTGATTCCTTTGAAAATCTCTTGAGAAGCCATCCAGAAAACCGTAAGTTCCGACGGAGCCCTCTAAGAGGAAATCCTATAGGATCCTGTGAGATCTTTGAAGACATGAAAATTTTATGGGATTCTTATAGGAATCCTATGGGAATCCTACAATATTTTTTTTTTCCTTATAGGACCCTGTGAGATCCTATAGAATTTTTCCGTGAGGGTTGAAGTTATTCAATTTATTTTGCAGTAAAAACTTCTGCTCCTAAGATTCGCAATTTTTGGAACTACTTCATCTGGAAGAACTCAAAGCAGAACACATTTTTCACATTTCCTCTTTAAACCAGAGTTTAAAATAGAGGAAATCAAATGTTCATCGGCGTTTTTCGCCTGTGACTTTTGCTACGCCAAAAAATCATGGAATTCGCCCTTCGCCAAATAAAAAATTTGTTTTCTGCGAGGAAATACTCGGGCAATTTCCCTAATCGCTCTACTTTTTCAGCAGCGGAAGGTCGTGGAAGGTTCTGTCAGGGGGGATAGTGCTGCAGAGCAGACCGTCGTGCTTGCCGAATTCCTATTTCATTAGTGCTCTGTGCACATTTGGCCATGGACACTCGGCTTGAAAATTAATAGCAATTCCAATATATTGCCAATTGGCGCGCGACTCCAGGTTTTACATCGCAAAAATAAATTCCTTGCCCTACTCACCAGAGAAACGAAGAGAATCAAAAAGACGCAAATCGACGAGGAGAGCTTGAGATGCATGTCGAAACGCGACGAAACGCGACGAAACGCGACGAAACGCGACGAAGCGCGACGAAGTCCCACCAACAAAGACCCGCCTCCCCTCCGGATCCTCCTGATTGCTATGAACGACGAAGCGCGACTGGCATTCATGATGCTGCCGTGCAACCGAGTCTGCTGTCGATAATAATTGCCATATTGAGCTA